TTGTTTCATAATTTGCTTTTTATCATTTAACTATATACTGTCAATATTTCTCTATTAGTCTCATTTAATTACCATATTAGTTTTCTTGTCATATTGGAGTGGTGAATTTATTTGGGGTTCATCAAGAGACTTAGTGTGGATGTAGATATAATTTAGGATAATATAGAAGTCTAAAAATGCATATATCCCACAGGGCTTTTAAAATAAATTATTTATTAAATTCCACTTGCATAGCCCACAATACTGTGCATCCGGGCGAATTAATGCAGCATAGAGGTGATCACTGTAAGAGCCTAGATGTGTTTGATGTAGTGATTCCTCCATGCCTGCAGAGGGGCCTTGCACTAATAGACCCTCAAAAAAGTCTGTGGAATAATTTTAAGTGGAACTGTAGCCTTCTGTTATAATTAATAGTAGCACCATTTCGTTACTTAAAACAGTGCTTTATAGAGTCATTAATAATACACAAAAGCCATGCTCCAAGCTCAGGCTTGCAGGGGATCCAGTCTGCAGGCCAGGTGGCCAGACAGCCTAGTAGAGAGCCTGACTGTTGCCAATGAACCGTGTACCATCCTCTCTAGGTGTGTATCTTGAAGATCACTTTTCCGGAGGGCACCTCACGTCAGCTGGGATCATACTGTTAAGGGAGGAGAGGGGATGTTGTCTACTGTGTGGCTACTATGCAAAGCTATGACAAGGTCCTTTCCTCCCTCCCCCCTCCCCCCCAACAGTAGGTAGACAGCCCTATCAGAGGGATGAGGGATGCTGATGGGAAACACAGGTCAGGAGAGGGGAAAGGGAGCACAAATGCCTGCCTGTTATTAGGAAAAGTGGATGGCTAACCTCCAGGTGTGGGGAGGAACTACTGAAAATGCTTTGGGGGACCCTAGGGGCAGAGTGTCCCCACACCAAATGGGCCACATTGACCCTGGAGACCCTGGTCAGGTGCCATGGAACACTGGGGCATTGAATCCTGCATCTTCAAGGTGCACAGCATGCTGCATCAGTGAGATGTGATGCAGAAAACCTCAGACCCACTTGTAACCTGAGGCCTGGTGTCTGAGGAAGTGGAAGACAGCCGTACCAAGACTTGAAGTGTTGGTAAGTGGGCAAACATGGTCTTGGTACAGCAATGCCCTATATGCTGTATTAAGACAAATATTATTCCAGCAAACCTGTGACTGACATTCTCAGCGAATATTATTATAAAGTTTCCCTGGCAATTAACCCCCATTGTTTGTGTAAATAGTGTTCAGCCATGAAAGGATTGATTTTGTACAAGAAATAATTCAGGTACTGCAATATGAAGTTAGCATACATTGGTTCAATATCCCTCTCTTAACAGTGCTTTTAAAAATTAAGTACCAGGTGCTAATCAAAGAAAATATTAATGGAAGATTGGTATGCCTCAGGGGGATGATGGATAAGACTCGCTACCACAAATTAACAAGGAGGTTTTGAAAGAGAGCCAAAGACCGATTAAAAAATCCAAAACAAAACATAGATCCAGGAATGGGTTTGAGGCTCTCACTAAATTTAAGAACAACTAGTTCTTACATATTGGCCCTGCTCAATGGGTCACCCTCAGGGAGAGAAAACAGATTTTATGGGTACTATACCAAAGTGTGGTGAAGAGATTAGATGGTGCCTGGCTTTCAGATAAAAGCATGTTTGGGGTCTTTTTTTTTTTTTTAGTTTTGCAAGTGCCCTTTTTTATTCTAAGCCCTTTGTCAGCATAAATAGATCCACTTCATTTTCTTTCTTTCTTTTTTTATTATTTTACTTGAAGTGTTGATATATATATATTTAAAATCATTTTATTAGGGGCTCATACAACTCTTATCACAATCCATACTGTTTGAGGTCTTAAAGGCTTTTCTTCAAATAAGAATCCATCTAAAAGAGATGTCAACTAAGTCCACCTGGAAGAAGCACACCAATATCAGTGGCTGAAGGAATGTAAATCATATAATCAGAAGCTGAAAGACAGAACAGTATCAGAGCCAAAATTGTGAGAATCTGGTTTGCAGAAGGCTATAGATGACAGTGGGAGCCCAAGATACATCTGTGGGAACTATATAGGAAATACTAAGCCTCCTATGATTTCCCTCTATGTATAATTGAGGGATGGGAGGAAAATGTTTACCAATTAGAGTGCACTGGAGAGATGACTATCAAAAGGATAGACCTTAAGGTCAAAAGGATAAACCTTACCTGAACTGATAAAACCTTGTCAGTTGATGCTCTGATGCATGTTAGGCCGGATCTGGTTTTCAACATTTTGTGTATTTTTTTTGTTCATATTGGGGTTTATCTCAGATGTGTCATGTCACTGGGAGTCACCCTCTTGAAATTTTGTTATGTTTTTCAGTATATAAAACCCAAGATGATGAACCTATAGGGACAGCAAGTACAATAAGTGTTTCTGGGGGGTACCGTGGTAGTGTTGTTGGGGGTGTGTGTGGTTCAAAGGGAGCTGATGCCAAGCAGTTCAAGAAGGAAAAGAAAGCTTTGAAAGTGATTGTAACAGCAATTGTACAATACTGCTTGATGTGATTGAACTGTTGAATGATATGATATTCATATTAACTTCCAATAAAAGGATTAAAAAAAAAAAGCAAGCCTCCGGAACTAAAATGGAACAAGCCAAAATGAAGTGCCCAAGGGAAAAAGAATTCAATTAATCAGTGCATGGAATTTGTAAAAAATGTCTTTAAATTTGGGGCCTATACTTGACACATTCTTTTATCTCTGTTCCTATGTCTTAATATGTTTAGCATGCTTCTCTTAAAGGGTGGCCACCTGGGTCTTTGGCTTTAGGGGGTCTGGAGGATAATAGTTAATGTTTAATCTTTTTTGAAATGCATTTTATTATCTCTCCCTCTCCCATTTTCCTGAATCAGACACTCCCAAATACACATTTCCAATTTGTGGCACAGTATCAGAGAGAAACTTATTTTATTCACATTTCAATCTAAAGCTTATGTTATTCAAGACTTTTCCATCTAGTGCACAGCTTGTCAAACCTCTGTTGTGGGCCAGATCAGGTCCATGACTTATTTTTTGTGTGGTCCACAAGTTAAGAGTGGGTTCTACATTTTAGTTTATTTTTTATTTTATTTAGGGTGGTTCTACATTTTTAAAGGTTGGCAAAAAGTATAAAGCAGAGCATATGCCTAAGACTGTACAGGGTGTGATGTAGCAACGATGAAACCCCCCCTCCACTATCATGATCCGAATTCTACCTTGCAAGTCTGGCTAGACCAGAGGATGTACACTGGTACAGATAGGAACTGGAAATACAGGGAACCCAGGGCGGATGATCCCTCACGACCAGTGGTGTGAGTGGCGATACTGGGAGGGTAGAGGGAGAGTGGGTTGGAAAGAGGGAACCGATTACAAGGATCTATATGTGACCTCCTTCCTGGGGGACGGACAACAGAAAAGTGGGTGAAGGGAGACGTCGGACAGGGCAAGATATGACAAAATAATAATTTATAAATTATCAAGGGCTCATGAGGGAGGAGGGAGCGGGGAGGGAGGGGAAAAATGAGGACCTGATGCTGGGGGCTTAAGTGGAGAGGAAATGTTTTGAGAATGATGAGGGCAATGAATGTACAAATGTCCTTTACACAATTGATGTATGTATGGATTGTGATGAGTTGTATATATAAAAAAGACTGTATATGGCCTACAATTCCTAGAAAATTTATTATCTGACCCTTAGGAGAAAATTTTTTTTCATGTGTCTGTCACCTCACTCCTGATTAGGAGTCTCTTTTTATTACACCAGATGTGTATGACTCTATCTAAATCTATGTCAAAAGAAGAAGCAGATCCATCTTGGAAGAAGTAGAGCCAGAATGCTCCTTAGATGCCAGGATGGCAGGACTATGTCTCAAGTGCTTTAGACATGTTATCAGGAGAAACCAGTTCCTGAAAAAGGACATCCTACTTGGGAAAGTAGGCCAGAGAAAGAGGAAGCCCCTCGGCAAGATGGACTGACACAGTGGCTGCAACAAGGGGCTCAAACATAGTAACTGTGAGGATGGCCAGGACTGGGAAGTGTTACCTTTCGGTGTACACAGAGCCACTCTGAATTGGAGCAGACTTGAGCACCTAATGGAACAATAACATGTTGGCATGGCAATTAAAAAAAATTAGTTTTCAGTCCTTTGGATGTGTTCAAACATTATTGTAATGAATTTATCTGTATGACCTAGTAAAATTTTGTGATGACTTAAAGAAGTTGATGTATAATTGAAATTTTGAAAATAAGTTTAAGATTAAAGTTTATAATGGTTTAGTCACCTCTAATGCTTATAGCATTGGTCTGGGAATTAAAATCTGGATCCTGTTTAATGATTTCTAGGAAAAAAATAGCTCATTAAAAACATTTAGAACTCTTGCAGGGAAAAAAAGCATCTGAAAAATATGAAAGGATTTCAGAATCAAGATTACATGTATCAAGTATCTATACGTTTATATCATGATGAGTAATATTATATAATAAGGATAGAGAGTGGTAAAGACATTGTAGTTTTTTGGTAAAGGTTTTAAAAGATATTTTTCACAGATTTCATGTATTTATATTCTGATTTTTCTACCTAATTTTCTGAAAATATATTTGGACAGATTGCATTTTATATAAATTCTTACATTTAAAGTAAGATAAACCTATTTCTATGATATTTATTGAAATCCTTTTTGTTTTTCTAGATGTTTCTTACATTTTAAGTCACCTAAACACATTTAATGTCATGGCATTTCTGAAAAACCTAATGACCTTTGTTTTATTGGCAGTCATTCCTCAAATCATTGCCTGAAGTTTTTAAACCTTTACTTCATTTTTTCCTATGATTTTTTTCCCCCTGGACTATTATAAAATGAGGATCAATTTTGTTTACTGAAATTAAAAGAACAATCCGATCATGTGGGGATTTGTTGAAAAATTTGGAAGTCTCTTAAGAAGTCTGACTCATCTTCACCTCTTCCTTCAGCTTGCAGCTGTTTGTGATGTATTTGTGGAAAACTATGTCCCTGGCAAACTTTCCAAAATGGGCCTGGGATATGAAGATATAGACAAGATTGCTCCTCACATCATCTATTGCTCCATAACAGGTATTTCAGCCCCACACCCTCATCTGTGAGTAGGTTTTTCCATTTTTTCGGTTTCTTTGCAGATATAAAAACTCTTCCTGGTGTTGGCGTTCTTTAAATGGTTCTGCTCTATCCAAATCATTTTGGTTAATGACCATTCATTATGGGCATTTAAATATATTTTGTATCTTTATTGGTCAATTATTTATCCATTTTCTGTGAATTGTCTGTCTTTAGTTTTTGCCTGGCTTTCTATTGGTGTTTTATTATTTTTCTTATTTGTGTGGATTTTAATATATTATTTTTGTTGAATTTGCCAATCATGCTTATTATAAATAACTTTTGTGAATTTATGATCCCTTTTGACCCATGGAAAACTAAATTTTTATATTGTAAATCTAGTAATCTCTTTCTTTTTTGCTTCTTTCTAATGCATAAAGTTAGAAAATTGCATCCAGAAATTTCTAAGTGTTTTCCATAGTATAGATTTTAAAAAAATCATTTTATTGGGGGCTCATACAACTCATCACAATCTATACATACATCAATTGTGTAAAGCACATTTGTACATTAATTGCCCTCATTTTTCTCAAAACATTTGCTCTCCACTTAAGCCCCTGGCATCAACTCCTCATTTGTTCTCCCTCCCTCCCCGCTCTACCTTCCCTCATGAACCCTTGATAATTTATAAATTATTATTTTGTTATATCTCACTCTGTCCAACGTCTCCCCTCACCCACTTTTCTGTTGTCCGTCCCTTAGGGAGGAGTTTATATGTAGGTCCTAGTAATCGGTTCCCCCTTTCCACTCCACCCTCCCTCCACCTTCCTGGTGTCACCACTCTCACCACTGGTCCTGAAGGGATCATCTGTCTTGGATTCCGTGTGTTTCCAGTTCCTATCTGTACCAGTGTACATCCTGTGGTCTAGCCAGATTTGTAAGGTAGAATTGGGATCATGATAGTGGGGGCGTTGGGGTGGAAGCATTTAGGAACTAGAGGAAAGTTGTATTTTTCATTGTTGCTACACTGCACCCTGACTGGCTTCTCTCCTCCCTGCGACGCTTCCATTACGGGATGTCCAGTTGCCTACAGATGGGCTTTGGGTCCCCACTCCACACTCCTCTTCATTCAAAATGAAATGATTTTTTGTTGTTTGATGCCTACTACCTCATCCCTTTGACACCTTGTGATCACTCAGTCTGCATAGTATAGATTTTTAATAGCTTTATTTTTGTTTGATCCTTTTAAGATTTTTTATGAGTGGTAGTATAAAGTGAAACTTCACATTTTCCCCTTCAAATTGCCAATTTTGCAAACATTAAACATTGACATTGGTTAATTCATCCTTAGGGATCTTCCCTCATCATATATTAAGTGATTATACAGTGAACCCTCGCCACTTCGCGCTTCGACTTCCACGGCTTCACTCTATCGCGGTTTTTGCGTAACAGCGCATGCTCTGTCATTACTCCCACTGATTGGCTCATACTGTACACGCTTCTGTCTGCATCGTTACGTATCGGAGCTACGTATCAGATGCATTTTTGCTTTTGTACAGTGTACTATAATTGTTTGCGAGTGTAATGGTGACTAAAGGGTGTTTTTTCATGTCCTCTATGCTCTAACTACGAAAATATTTGATTTACAAATAAGGAATCCTACTTCGCGGAATTTAATTTATCACGGTAGGGTATAGAACCGATTAACCGCGATAAACGAGAGTTTACTGTATATGCTGCAATTTATTATGCTATCTACTCCTGGACCTATAGTCTACAGGAATTGATGGAATACCCATTGAAATGGCCTAACAAGCTGATGAAGCACTGAAAGCACTCACTTGTCTAGGCCAGGACATTTGCAAGGCAGCTACTTGGCCAACTGACTAGAAGAGATCCATATTTGTACCCATTCCAAAGAAAGGTGATGCAACAGAATGTTCAAATTATAGACTAATATCGTTAATATCACACGTAAGTAAACATTTGCCAAAGATCATCCAACAATGGTTGCAGCAGTACATTGACTGGTAGTTGTCAGAGGTCCAGGCTGGATTCAGAAGAGAACTTGGAACAAAGGATATCACCACTGATGTCAGATGAAACTTGGCTGAAAGTAGGTAATACCAGAAAGAAGTTTTACTTATGTTTTATTGACCATGTCAAGGCATTTGACTATGTGGATTATAACTCAAGGATACCCTTGAGAAGAATGGGAACTCCAGAACACTTCATTGTGTTCATATGGAAATTGTACACGATTCAAGAGGCAGTTGTGAAAACAGAACAAGGGAATGTTGCATGGCTGTAAATCGGGAAAGGTGTGTAAAAGGGTTGTATTCTCTCTCCAGACATATTCAATCTGTCTGCTGAGCAAGTAATCAGAGAAGCTGGATTAAATGAAGAAGAATGTGGTATCAGGATTGGAAGATGGCTTATTAACAATCTGCAACATGCAAATGGCACAACCTTGCTTGTTGAAAGTGAGGAGGACTTGAAACACTTGGTGATGAAGATTAAGGATTGCAGCCTCTAGTATGAACTAAAACTATTTATACTCTAAAGAAAAGCCAAATCATCACAACTGGATCAATAGGTAACATCATGATTAATGGAGAAAATATGGGAGTTGTCAATAATTTGGTTTTATTTGGATCCAGAATGATCATGGAAACAGCAGTCAAGTAACCAAAAGATGCATTGCATTGGGTGTATCTGCTGCACAAGACCTCTTTAAGGTGCTGAAAAAAAAGCATGTTACTTTGAAGACTACGGTTTTCCTAACCCTAACCATGATATTTTCAACTGCCGACTATGAATGTGAGAGTTGGATATTGAATAAGGAAGACTGAATACAAATCAATGCATTTGAAGTGTGGTACTGGAGAAGAATATTGAAAGTACTATAGACTGCCAAAAGAAGAAACAAATCTGTCTTGGAAGAATTACAGTCAGAATGCTCGTTAGAGGCAAAGCTTATGAGACTTCATCTTACAGACTTTGGACATGTTGTCAGGAGAGACCAGTCCCTTTAGAAGACTTTACACTTGGCAAAGTAGTGGGGCAGCGAAGAAGAAGATCTTTGACAAGATGGATTGACACTGTGGCTTCACCAATGGGCTCAAGCATAGGAACAATTGTGAGGATGACTCAGGACTGGACCATGTTCAGTTCTTTTGGACATAAGGCTGCTATGAGTCACAACAACCCTCTTCTATTACATTTGCTTACCATTCCTTGTGCTGGTATCATGCGGACTTGATCATTTTAGCTTATATTTAACTATCTCACAAAGTAAGATCACCTGTACGTCTTGCTTTACAACATTTATATGGCTCTTATTGTTTGCTTTTTGTTCTGTGGTACAGAGAGTTGCTATATGTTGGAACCAACTTGCCAACATCTAACAACAACAAAAATGCGTTATGCCAGGTAGTATTCCTGATGCTGTTCCTTTTAGTGATGCTATAGGACAGAGTAGAACTTCCTATAGACTTTCCAGGGCTATAAATCTTTTAAAAAGTAGACACCATTTCCTTCTTCTTTAGCA